ACTGGTTTGCACCAAAGGCCCCTTTCCCAGGAGGGGAACTGGGTTTCCAGCCGTGGGAGGCCAGAAAGCCAAGCCATCCCAGGTCGATCCGTTTCAGGGGAGGGCTCCAAGCAGCCAAACTCCCGCCCACCCACTTTCCAGGGGCCGCTCCCTCCTTCAAGGCACCCATGGAGCTCTGAGCCTCCCGAGTGTCCCGACCCCTTTTAAGCAGCAGCGAAAAGCCTTCTGCCCGGCGGCGCCACCCTCCTGGGCAGGTGCTAACATTTTCTGCCGCCCCCCCCCCAACCTCCAGCTTTGTCCGTGATGACTTCCAGCACTACAAGGTGGACCTCACCCACCTGGTCATGCACCCGGCCTGCGCCCTGCCCACCTCGGTGGTGATCAGCAACTCGACCAATGGCACCCGCACCATCCTGCATGCTGCCAGGTGCGTAGGCTAAGCCCCCCTCCCCCCCGGCTGTATGTGCTAACCACTTCTTTCTCTCCCCTCCCCTGGCCCCAAGATTCATCCTGTCCGATTTCAAGCACCACGGTGTGGATGTGACCCACCTGGTCTGGCAGACCCAGGGGGAGACGCCATGCGCCTGCTGCCTCGTCAACTGTGCCAACGGCTCTCGGACAGTCACCCTCTATGACACGTAAGGCTGCCGCTGCAGTTCCCCCTTCCAGTGGGTGGCGCCAGAGGGCACACGGCAGATTGCCACAAACCAGGCTGGGTAGCTGGAGTTTAGCCAGCGTGGTGGTGGTGGTGGTGGGGAGTGGATGGCAGGCCTTCTCCAGCAACCCTCTTTGCCCCACTCAGACTAGAAATGTGAAGGTTGGGGCTGCCATCGACCTGGCAGAGCTCTCTGCAATCTGCCTCCCCCATGGAATCCTTCTTGCCCAGCACCCCAGGGTTATGGACAGGACTGTGAGTCGTCTGCACTGCAAAGCCAAACACAGTCCCTATCAAGAGGGCCCCGATCCTGCACAAGGAGAGCACCATCCTCTGTGTAGCATTGCAGCCAGTGAGCGGTTCCAAGGCCACTTGTGCAATCTGTGTTGCAAAGCAGAGGGAACCTCACGTTGGCTCTCGGCCTTGCGGGAAGTTCCAGCAACCTCATTGCTGCCTTGCTGCTCTTTGAGGACACAAGACTTGTTGAGAAAGACAATCGTGCCCGGAAAATAGAAGGTAGCAGGAAAAGAGGAAGACCAAATACAAGATGGACTGACCCCATAAGGGAAGCCACAGGCTTGAGTGGACACAGGGTCACCGTAGTCATACCTGACAGTGTGTAAGAGGGGACGATAACTGTGGCTGGGGCTGCTGCCGCTTTTAGGGCGACCAGAGGCGAAGGAGAGCTGGACTCCTGCCGGGGAGGAATTCTGGGAGGTGCTGCACGACCAGGCAGAGTTGTTGTTGCTGTGTGCTGTCAAGTGGCTTCTGATTTATAGCAACCTTAGGCAGGTGTTGGCTCTGAAATTTTATTTATTTAAAATATTTTTACCCCGTTCTGCCTTTAACGGCTTACTCAGCTTTTGCAAGGCTGTGGCTTCCTTTCTGAAGTCAGTTCATCTCATGTTGAGTCTCCCTTCCCCCCTCCCTCCCCCCCCCCGTTGCATGAAATGCCCGCTGTGGGTCTCTGTTCTCAGCCAAGCCCCCTCAGCCCTCTTCTGTCTTCCCTTTGGCAAGGCTCCTCGTTCAGCAGGGAAACTGCCTGGGCCTGGCAGGGAATGCCCTGGCTGGCCGAACAAGGAGACCAAGAAGCCTGGAGGCAGGACTTTGGGCCTTTGGCCTTCACCCAGCAGGAGCTTAGGTGTGCGTGCATGTGCGCGCGCACGTGCATGCACCTTCCCAGCCCTTGCCTGGTAGAGGAGTGGGAGAAAGAGAGATGATGAGAGTCTTCATCGTCTCTGTCTCCCTCGCTCATCTTATTCCTAATTATTGGTAGGATTAATGATTAATCAAACCCTTGGAATGTGCAAAGGGCGATTGTGGTTTTTATCGTGTTGAGCATCACAGAGTAATAAGGAAGCTCCCCCCCCCCTTTATTTCTCTCTCTCTCTCTCTCTCTCTCACACACACACACACACACACACGCACACGCACACGCACACACACACACACACACACGTTCTTTTTCTAGCAAGGTCTTTCTTGATGCCTTCCACTTCTGCAAGACACAGAGAGGCTTCTTCCGGGGCCAGCTGGGTTTCTGGCAGCCACCCAATGCAGAGAGCCAGATTTGTGATCTTCTTTTTTAAAATATATCTTCAAAACCATTTTTATTTTTAGGTAAGAAACAGCAGCAAAATAACATAGGAAGAGTTTAAAAAAACATAAAGGCAAATCTTCTAAACCAACTCCTTCCTCGCCTTTGAAGCTACTAGGGATCAACTCACTAAAATATATCTCTAGGCAATAATGTCAAGTAGGTCAAAGCGACATCGAAGTGGTTGCCACCAGAAAATGTTCACCGAGGAATATCAGATGCAATTCCTTATTGATTGCAATTTATCCCACATTTCTCTCCAGGAAGGGGATTCAGGGCGGCTCATGGCAATACTGAATGAAAATAGAATCAGGCCAGGTGCTGAGACCACAGCTTCCTAAGACCATATGTGGCAGTGAAGGTGATTTTCACTTCACTCCCAGACCAGGAGCCCAGCAGAGTAAGACTGCCACAAGGACACACCTACAGTATTTTCTGGTCCTGAACGAGGAAGTGTTTCCTGAGATTTAAGCACCTTTGCTCAAAAAAAATGGCAAATGCTGGGGGGGGGGTTTGAGGTGGTTGGGGCTCTTCTCTCCTGCCTGAGATAGAAAGGGCTCTCATTTTTCTTTGTCTGCAGCCATGTGGGCCAAATGCTTTGGCTTCTCTCCCGTTGCAGCCGCCTAGTGTGTATGAGCTATGTGTGTGCACAGGAGAGATGCATGGTTTTTTGCAGGCGGTCTGTTATGGCTTGGTTGTGCAACAGATCGTGCTGGGCGTCATGCGACAGGGCACTCGCACCCAATGCAGATGGCAGGCTTGGTTACCCTTCCAGATGTGGAGCCTTGGCCCTTGCATTTTGCCCAAAATCCTGCATAGGTCACTTGCCGTCCCCACCCCTGCAAAATATAAGGCTCCTTTGTGCAAAAGCCACTTCTGCCTTAAAAGCCACTTCTGTCTTGCACAAAGTAAAGGGGAGGAAGCACAGCAGTTTTAAACCCGGCCATTTGAAACTTTGTAATAACATAATGAGGAGATGCTCTCCCCCCCCCTCGCCCCCGCAATAGAGGCTCGCTGGAGCAGGTAGGGAAAAAAAGACAGATGGTTCTCCTATAGTGGCGCCACCCAGTGGGAGAAAACGGGACAGGCAGCTGTGCATGGTTGATCCGGATCCGATTCCCCAGTAATTCTCAGACGATTGCTAACTCAGCCCAATGCAACCAATGATCTTTGCGGATGGTAATTCCTGATCACCTTCCCCCTGCGTGTGGCCTGGTGGGGATTCTCTGCCAGATGGGACGACTTCCAGCCCAGAGCACCTCTTGACAGCAGCAGGTGAGAGTCTGTGGACTGTCTGGGCGAAGGCAGAGGAGGCTGGGCTGCTCGATTTGGGGGGGGTGGTGGATGGAGGGATGGGGCAGCGTTTGCACTGGAGGGAGAAAAAAGGTTGGCAGGAGGGGGTTATTCCCCTCTGAAGAGGAATGGCGTCCCCACCAACCGCACCATGGCTCCTCTATTTAAGCCCCCCCTTTCCCCCCCCCCAGGCATCTAGGAGCCAGAGGGTGGTGGAGGAGAAGGGGGCAGATGGATGGGGCAGGCAAGGGGGTGCCCTTGGCCTCCTCACCAGGTGCGGAAAATGCAGGCCGGGTTAATGATTCCAGGAAACACAGGAAGGGCCCTGCCTTGCCCACGAAGTCCCCAAACGTGGCTGTACGCAGCCTTTGCTCGGAGGCGGCTCTGCATCTCCTGTCTGGGTGGTTAATCATTGAAAAGGGTCCCCTTTCCCGGTAGAATTCAGCCCCTGCCAGTCGGGGATCCAGCAGGAATCCGTTCCAGCAGGATGAGCTCCTGACACGTTGCCCACCCACCAGGGCTGCCAAGCCCGGCCCGTTGCCAGACAAGGGAGCCCAGGAGCCATCCGGAAGGGACCCCCGAGGAGCCCCTCTGGCCCAGCGTTCTGTTCCCACCACGGCCAGACCAGCGGCCCGCGGGAGAAGCCGAGCCGTGGTGCCCAAAGGCCAC